CTTAGGTCCTCTCTTTCGAGCTCCCATGGCGTCGCTCTCTCTGGTTTTGCTTCAGAGAAAACTCGAACCTGTGGATTCGGAGACTCGCGCTCTTTCTCTCTCTCTCCCTCTCTCCCTCCTCTCTCGCTTTGTTCGGTTCTCTGTGTTGCGGTGACGTAGCGTCCCAATCATGTTTCTACACGTCAGATGGAACGTGTTGTCAGTGGGCCCAAAAGATGATGTGGCAAGATTTTTTAAAAAAAGCAATAAATCATGACATAATTACAAATCAGCTTTTTAGATTTTTGACTTTTTATTATATCATATTTTTATTTTGGGGAAACTACGTTGGCAGCCTCTGAAGTTTATGTTTATTACAATTTTTCTCACCTTTTGGAAATTACTCTCCTTCTTGAGGTTTAAAATTTCATTACAGATTCCTTCACCAGCGAGAGAATATTGGGTGTAGATAGGGTACCACGTGACATGCCACATGTACTTTTAACAAATTACAAGCACTATGGCCTTCCATGTTGTCTCTTCATCATCCAACACATAAATGTAGCTTTCACTCACTCAACCAATGAGAGAAGAGAAAAGGTACCACATGACATCTACCCTATATGCATCCAAAAATTACTCCCTCTCAACCATTTAATTTTTTTAAATACCAATTTTGCCCTCACTGATAAATTACATTGACACCCCTCACATTTTAGAAATTATAATTCCCTCCTTAAAATTTAAAGTAACATTACCAATTGTCCCATCGGTTAGTATTAGTCGGGAATAAAATTCATTGAAAAAAAAATTATTTGAAAAAAAAAATAAATTGAAAAAAAAAAAATTTGTTAGTAAAATTTTTAAATTTCTGTTTAAAAACAACATAAACTCATTTTTTGAATTTACTTTTTTTCCTCAAATTTACAAACTGAGACAACCATTTATAAACCAAAAAAATTATCAAACAAGTTTTTATGACAGTTTTTAAAATTTTTGTAAATATAAATTGAAAACTGAAAACAAAATGGTTACCAAATAGGTTTCAGATGGTAAAAATGTCGTAAAATTAACAAATAATTAAATAAATTGCCAACATAAGAAATAACTTCTCAAAAGATTCTTAGGCTATGTATGATTTGATTTTTAGAACTTTTTTTTTAAAAGTTAAAAATTAATCTGGCTAAGAAATAAAAATAAAAATAATTATCATTTTTATATGATTTTTATCTTTCGAGTGGTTAAAAATAATTTTTTTACAAATTAAATTGAAACAGCCATACGTATGTATATAACTTGCCCAAAAGTTAAAATGATAATTATTTTTTTACCCTTAAATGATAATTATTTTTTATTTTTTATTTCTTAACCAAATTAATTTTTAATTTAATTTTTTTTCTAAAAATCAAACCATACGTAGCCTAAGAATTTTTTGATAAATCATTTCTTAACTTAGTAACTCATTTAATTATTTGTTAATTTTACGACATTTTTACCATCTGAGACCTATTTTGTAACAATTTCATTTTCAGTTTTCAATTTATATTTACAAAAATTTTAAAAATTGTCATAAAAACTTATTTGATAATTTTTTTGGTTTATAAATGGTTGTCTCAATTTATAAATTTGAGGAAAAAACGTAAATTCAAAAAATGAGTTTACGTTGGTTTTTAAACAAAAAATTATAAAATCTTACTAACAAAATTTTTTCCATTAAATTTTTTTTTTTCCAATAATACTAACCAAGAGGGCAATTAGTAATGCTACTTTAAACCTTAGGGAAGGGATTGCAATTTCTAAAATATGAGGAGTGTCAATGTAATTTACCTAATAAGGGCAAAATTGGTATTTAAAAAAATTAAATTGCTGACGAGGGAAACTGTAATAAAACTTTAAACCTCAGAGAGAGATGTAACTTCCAAAAGGTGAAAGGAGGAATTGCAATAAATATAAACCTCAGAAGGTGTCAATGTAATTTATCCTTTATTTTTTTACACATTTAAAAAAAATTAAAAATCAAAAAATTAAAAAATCAATTTTTAACCAACTTTTCAAAATAGACCAATTTGAAAACTAGCCTTAGTTAAAAAGTCATTAAAAATTATCAAATTATTCTATTTATTTGCACGTCTTTTAAATAAAAAATCAAACACTACTTAAAAAGTCAATTTTCAAACACTCTTTAGTTGGAGCCTTTTCCATATTAAGCCAAATTTCTATCTTAAATTCAAACTAGGCCTAGTTTGGACGGAGGTCCCAAGCTAGGCTAAAGCGCTATTACAAATCGCGCTTTCACTGTTTGAAGCAGAAAATTTGATGAATAGTGAAAGCGCTATTACAAAAAGCGCTTTTAATTAAGAAAACGCTATTACAAAAAGCGTTTTCACTGTGCATATGAAAAAAGCGCTATTACAAAAAGCGCTTTCACTGTGCATATCTCTCCCCTTCAGAAAATGTTTAAATATATTAAAATGTAATCAAAATTAATCTTGAGTTCTTTGCAGCTCAAATGGTAGTGCATTGGTTTGCCACACCTCTACACAGGTTCAAACTACATGCACACCAACTCCAAACAATTGCTATCTAAAATGAAATTAAACTTTTTTTTTTTTCCCTTCCACTCACTCTATATTTTATATATTTATTATGTAATTTTTTTATCAAAAAAAAAAATGTTTGTTTGGTTAAATATTTTAAAAAAATTAAAAATAAATAATTTATTTATTTAAAAATTAAATAAACAATTTATTTATTTTTAAGGAATTATACAAAGTAGTATACTATTTATACTATCATCACATCACACGTATAAATAGTATACTCACTTAGACGTATTATACTATCATCACATCGCACGTATACTACTTTTTATATTTTTAATAAATTGTTTATTTTTATTATTACCCATTACTTTTAAAATATGTTCATTTTTAAAATATTTTAAAAAATTGAAAATGTACGCTTTTAAAATATTTTAGTACATTTTAAAAGCGCACATTTTGCTGAAAAAATATTTTTGAGTACGCTTTCACTGTGCATATTTTTTTGAGTACATTTTTTTGAAAAAATTAATATTTTGCTGAAAAAATGCTAAAAAATTAAAAAATATTTTTTTCAGTACATTTTTTTGTATTTTTATGTATTTATTAATTTTTTAAAATATTTTTTGACAAATTTTTTATTTTTAGATGCATCTAACTAAGATGCATCTAAAAAATTTTAAAATTTTAAAAATATTCACTAAAAACAAAAAATACGAAAACCAAAAAACTCAGTTTTCAAATAACTAAATCCAAAAAACTCAAACCAAATACACTGATACTTTTTAAAAAATTATGTTGACATTTTGAAAAAAATTGTATTTTATAGAAAAAATTGTTAGTTATTGTATTTTATTTATTTATAGAAAAAATTTTATTTTATTTATTTAAATTGTTTATTTAATTTTTTAAATAAATAAATTGTACATTTTAAAAAAATATGCATAGTGAAAACGTACTCAAAAATTTTTTTTTCAGCAAAATGTACGCTTTTAAAATGTACTAAAATATTTTACAAGCGTACATTTTTCAATTTTTTAAAATATTTTAAAAATAAACATATTTTAAAAGTAATGGGTAATAATAAAAATAAACAATTTATTAAAAAATAAAAAAGTAGTATACGTGCGATGTGATGATAGTATAATACGTCTAAGTGAGTATACTATTTATACGCGTGATGTGATGATAGTATAAATAGTATACTACTTTATATAATTCTTTAAAAATAAATAAATTGTTTATTTAATTTTTTAAATAAATAAATTTTTTATTTTTATTTTTTTAAATATTTAAGCCAAAAGCGTTTTTTTCATATGCACAGTGAAAACGCTTTTTGTAATAGCGTTTTTTTCATATGCACAGTGAAAACGCTTTTTGTAATAGCGTTTTTTTCATATGCACAGTGAAAACGCTTTTTGTAATAGCGTTTTTTTCATATGTACAGTGAAAGCGCTTTTTGTAATAGCGTTTTTTTCATATGCACAGTGAAAACGCTTTTTGTAATAGCGTTTTCTTAATTAAAAGCGCTTTTTGTAATAGCGCTTTCACTATTCATCAAATTTTCTGCTTCAAACAGTGAAAGCGCGATTTGTAATAGCGCTTTAGCCTAGCTTGGGACCTCCGTCCAAACTAGGCCTAGTTTGAGATTTAAGATAGAAATTTGGCTTAATATGGAAAAGGCTCCAACTAAAGAGTGTTTGAAAATTGACTTTTTAAGTAGTGTTTGATTTTTTATTAAAAGACGTGCAAATAAATAGAATAATTTGATAATTTTTAATGACTTTTTAACTAAGGCTAGTTTTCAAATTGGTCTATTTTGAAAAGTTGGTTAAAAATTGATTTTTTAATTTTTTTGATTTTTAATTTTTTTTTAAATGTGTAAAAAAATAAAGGATAAATTACATTGACACCTTCTGAGGTTTATATTTATTGCAATTCCTCCTTTCACCTTTTGGAAGTTACATCTCTCTCTGAGGTTTAAAGTTTTATTACAGTTTCCCTCGTCAGCAATTTAATTTTTTTAAATACCAATTTTGCCCTTATTAGGTAAATTACATTGACACTCCTCATATTTTAGAAATTGCAATCCCTTCCCTAAGGTTTAAAGTAGCATTACTAATTGCCCTCTTGGTTAGTATTAGTTGGAAAAAAAAAAATTTAATGGAAAAAATTTTGTTAGTAAGATTTTTAAATTTTTGTTTAAAAACCAACGTAAACTCATTTTTTGAATTTACGTTTTTTCCTCAAATTTATAAATTGAGACAACCATTTATAAACCAAAAAAATTATCAAATAAGTTTTCTCCATCATCTCCCTTGTTGTTGTGTTCCTAAGTTGAGATTATTGAAGAATCTAAGCCTCTCATCATATTCTAGAGAATTCGAAGTTGTTCTTCAAGGATCTTTGAAGATCTTCGAATTTTCCAACTCCTTTCTCGAACCCCCTCCTACATAAACCAAAAAAATTATCAAATAAGTTTTTATGACAATTTTTAAAATTTTTGTAAATATAAATTGAAAACTGAAAATGAAATTGTTACAAAATAGGTCTCAGATGGTAAAAATGTCGTAAAATTAACAAATAATTAAATGAGTTACTAATGTAAGAAATGATTTATCAAAAAATTCTTAGGCTACGTATGGTTTGATTTTTAGAAAAAAAATTAAAATTAAAAATTAATTTGGTTAAGAAATAAAAAATAAAAAATAATTATCATTTAAGGGTAAAAAATAATTATCATTTTAACTTTTGGGCAAGTTATATACATACGTATGGCTGTTTCAATTTAATTTGTAAAAAATTATTTTTAACCACTCGAAAGATAAAAATCATATAAAAATGATAATTATTTTTATTTTTTATTTCTTAGCCAGATTAATTTTTAACTTTTAAAAAAAAAGTTCTAAAAATCAAATCATACATAGCCTAAGAATCTTTTGAGAAGTTATTTCTTATGTTGGCAATTTATTTAATTATTTGTTAATTTTACGACATTTTTACCATCTGAAACCTATTTGGTAATCATTTTGTTTTCAATTTTCAATTTATATTTACAAAAATTTTAAAAACTGTCATAAAAACTTGTTTGATAATTTTTTTGGTTTATAAATGGTTGTCTCAGTTTGTAAATTTGTGGAAAAAGAGTAAAATGAGTTTATGTTGTTTTTAAACAGAAATTTAAAAATTTTACTAACAAATTTTTTTTTTTCAATTTATTTTTTTTTCAAATAATTTTTTTTAAATGAATTTTTTTCCCGACTAATACTAACCGATAGGACAATTGGTACTGTTACTTTAAATTTTAAGGAGGGAATTATAATTTCTAAAATGTGAGGGGTGTCAATGTAATTTATCAGTGAGGGTAAAATTGGTATTTAAAAAAATTAAATGGTTGAGAAGGAGTAATTTTTGGATGCATATAGGGTAGATGTCATGTGGTACCTTTCTCTTCTCTCATTGGTTGAGTGAGTGAAAGCTACATTTATGTGTTAGATGATGAAGAGACAACATGGAAGGCCATAGTGCTTGTAATTTGTTAAAAGTACATGTGGCATGTCACGTGGTACCCTATCTACACCCAATATTCTCTCGCTGTGGAGGAATCTGTAATGAAATTTTAAACCTCAAGAAGGAAAATGTAATTTTCAAAAGGTGAGAAAAACTGTAATAAACATAAACTTCATAGGCTGCCAACGTAGTTTCCTCAAAATAAAAATATGATATAATAAAAAAGTCAAAAATCTAAAAGCTGATTTGTAATTATGTCATGATTTATTGCTTTTTTTTACAAAATCTTGCCACATCATCTTTTGGGCCCACTGACAACACGTTCCATCTGACGTGTAGAAACATGATTGGGACGCTACGTCACCGCATCACAGAGAACCGAACAAAAGCGAGAGAGGAGGGAGAGAGGGAGAGAGAGAGAAAGAGCGCGAGTCTCCGAATCCACAGGTTCGAGTTTTCTCTGAAGCAAAACCAGAGAGAGAGACGCCATGGGAGCTCGAAAGAGAGGACCTAAATCCGAAGCCGCCACGACGACGACGACGACGAAATCTCCGTCAACAGAAACTCAAGAAAAAACCACTGCCGCGAACTCAACCGCCGCCGAGCCTCCGATTGCTCTGTCGAAGGCGGGCCAAATCCTGAAAGTCTCACTCATCTTCTTCGTCCCGTACTTGTACTTGATCTTCTCTCACTACAACATCGAAGAGGAACTGAAGCGATCGATCCTCATCAACGCCGTCCTCAGCTCTGCCGCCTTCTTCGTAACCCTCGCTATGATCCCTGTGGCCTCTAAATACGTTTTGAGGCGCAATATGTTTGGTTACGACATCAACAAGAAGGGCACTCCTCAAGGTTCAATCAAAGTGTGAGTTTTTTTTTTTCTTGGAACATTAATTCGAATTTAATTTGATTTCATGAACTGAGAATGAGAATGTGTAAGATTTTAATAGGAGATACTATTTGCACTCTCTTTTATTTGATTATTTCACTGCAAATTTGGCCATTTATTAGTATGCATTGAAAATTGTACTAGACGCCAGACGGTGTGCACACCATGAAAGTCAACCATTAAATGTACAAAGAGAAAAAAAAAAACTTTTTTTCTTTTGGGATAACCGGTGTCCAGGCCAGGTTATGTGCAAACTAACGACCGGGCAAATATCCAATGGCCCAAGGTTTGGATGTTTGGCTTTTGTGGATTTTGAACCTGCAACCTCTTGGATAGTAAGTCCTTTGGTTATTTTCTTCATCCACTAAACTAAGCCAAACCCCTTGGGGTTAGAAAGAGAAAAAACTTGAGAATTTATCAAAATTCAAAATCAAAATCTGAGGTAATTATATAGTGGTAGTTGTAAGGGGTAATTTGGAAATGGAAAATAGTGTAACACTTTACAGCAATTGAGTTGTGTGCTTCATCTAATAGTATAGATTATGCATTTTTTTATATTATAGACAAAATATGGAGCATATTTATGAAGAATGGGGTGGGAATACCACTACCTATTTTATTTCACTTTGTTAGTATATTATATGTATTATATGTTAGTGCATAATATGTTAGCTGTAAAATACCAAGCTTTAATCATGTTGTTTTCTTAGTGCTTTCTTCTTTCGGCTCTCTTGGCTCCTTTGTACACTCTCCTCTCTATAAAAGGAGAGTCATCTTCACATTGTAAATATACTTAATATCCATTAAATACACAATATAATTCTCTCTCTTTATTTGTACATTATATTTAACATGGTATCAGAGCGAGGTTAAGAACCTAATAATTTCGCTTCATCGGCGGGCGGCAGGCTCGTCTTGGCTGCCCGCGCCGGACCTCTACACATACCTTGACTCCGCTGCCACTAAACCCAATTCAACATTCACCTTCAAGATCAGAGCATCATCACCATCATCCATCTTGGTCACCTCCACCAACACACATGGGCTAAGACCAAGGCCTCTCTATCTGTCTTCTTTGCAAAAAGGGCCGACCCGTCGGAATCTCGCATTTTCGAAGCCGTGCAAGTCACTCACTCTATTCAACGACTTCCTCATTATAGCCACTTTAGCCAACCTCTCCGCGGCTCTCCAAGCCAATGTCGGCGTAAGCGGCTCACCCTTGCAATGGCTGATGAAGCCACTATCTCCTTCTGGTTTGCCACCCATTGCTTAGCAACCAAACCAACCCTACCAGCCTTCAATATCTCTATTACCAGAAATGCATTCTTGGGTTGATCCGAGTGCATTGGCCAAGCCGCTATCGGCACTCCTGGGGTGATGCTCTCCAGGCATGAATTCCATCTACAGTGACTCATGAACCAGCCTGTTGATGGTGCTTTAGCTCTCTTGACATCGCCTACGAAATCTCCTTATCGGCATCTCTCAACACCCAGATGAACTTTTGTCTGCTTTGTTATTGCAAGCTCTTTAATCTGCTGATCTGTCGTCGAAGTTGTTGTTTCAAATGAAGCATATTGCATGGATTTTGGGGCTTGTTTATCAAGCCAAATCAAACATTTGTGTTGGCTATTTGAGTTGTTGGCTGTTTGAGTTGTTTTCTCCAATATGAACCCTTCTCATCTACCAATGCAGCCACAGCAGCAAGGACGACCTCCCGCTCCGTCGTATTATTTTAACATGAATGTTCTTCATCCACCCAATCACGTGATCAAAAAATCTGTTCTCCAAAACCAACACAACACTGGTTTTGATGGGTTGCTGTTGCTGCTGTGCAATTGCATACCCATGATTAAACTGTAGAAAGGGTGAGAAAGAGCAAGAAAATGGACTCAAGTGCATTTTTGCGCCTCATGTCGGACCCCCCACCAGCAGGTCTTTCTGCTCCTGCTCTCAGGCTTGGTGTAACATAAGCTCCCTTGGTCAAGCTTCCATCCTCCGACTCAATCACCGAAGTCATGGACACATCCTTATGACCCTCCAAGATTCCATTCAGTGAACCTGAGCACCACCACGGTTTCACCATGGTCCGAAATGCTCCGATCCATCCCACTCTATTGGGAAGCTCCTCATGCAGAGCGACCTCGACATGGCCACCGGCTGGCTCTGCACTCAGATTCTCAATCCCTCCGCCGTACACAGTGTCACCAAGTTCTTCGATCTCACTTCGGCGAAGTTCCGCCGCAATTATCTCGGCCTCAAGCAGCGCCGGCTCAAGCTCCTCCCACCTCTCTCTCTCTCTCTCTATGTGCCTGAGACTATCCAAAGAACAAGTGGTGTCCACCTCAACAAACTCCACTCATTCCCTTCGTCAAACAAGTGGTCTAAGAAAAAGTGGGATCAAGAACCTGCCGACACCAACAGGAAGCATGGGAGCCTCACCATATCTCTAGCAACTTTTTATTTATTTTATAATAATAATTATTATTATTATTATTTTCTCTCTGTTTTTTTTTGGCAGTTTGAAAACACACTTTTCACTCTCTCTCTCTCTCTCTCTCTCCACTCAAGGACACCCACCACTTTGTCAACTTTCCAACCTATCTTCCTTCACCTTTTGCACTCTACTCACCGACTCCCTCACCACAAAATAGAATACTTTTATTTATTTATCTTATCTTTCTTGTGTTCCGTGTGTTCTGTGTATTCTGTGCGTGTGTCCGGCGCGTGTCTCTCTCCTATATCACCATACCCACCATTTCTTCCTCTTGTATTTTATCTTATTTTATTTTCTTTTATCACAAGCACAACAGTATCCAATACTCAAAGTGCCAGCATACCATCATAGACTATTATTCACAAACCACCAAATTCAAGTCCTACATTTCCATTGCCATACCAGAGCATTACCAATACATCACACACACACACATAAAAAAAAAAATAATAATAAAATAAAAAAAAATACAAACCAAAACAATCTCCAACCACAACCCACAACCACCACAAAAACCGGCCTTACTTTTTCGCCTCTTCCGTTGTTCTCTTCTTCTTACTTTTATCTTGGGTGTCCCGTGACATCCCGGTCTCAGTACTTCCTAATTCACCGAGCACGTTCACTCCCCCCTGCTCCTCCACCGCAGCATATGGCGGACCTCCGAATCGGAACAAAACGGTAGCCTTCTGCTTCAGCTCCTTGTTTTCCGCCTTTAACACACATATCTCTGCTCGCGCATCCTTATACATGCACTGGAGCAGAGCCAGTTGGGCGTTTAACTGCTGCACCTCATTTGTCCTACTCTAAAGCCGGTGCGACAAGTTTGTGACCGCAGTCATGGTCTCCACACATGACTTCAATGTATATTGATTGGCCTCAATATCCGGTTGCGCTTCCATTATTTGCTCCACGGACCGCATAGGAAAGTTCAACGGAGCAAAACCAGGGGCGCTTGGTTGAGGTTCAAGGGAAATCACACCGGTTATCTCTCTTGTGGACTCGTTGAGGTCTGGAAAGAGAGTGAGTAGACCACGGGAAGAAGAGGCCATGTTTTGGGTTGCTGAACGGGAAGAAGAGGCCATGTTTTGGGTTGTTGAGTGTTTCAGAGAGGCAGCGATTTCAGACTGGTAATGTCAGAAAGGGTTGGTTGCAGAGTGTTTCAGAACGAAGATGTTCAGAGGTTTCAAACTAGTTTGGTTTGCATAGCTTCCGCCTCGGTTTATATAGACAATGACGGAGAGGACGACACAACGCTCTGTCGATCACGTGCATCGCCGCGTGTCCAGCGCGACTTTTGATGGCTCGCCGCTCAACGATTTCTGTCGGGCACAACTCTTGATGAAGTGGGAGCGCCTTTTGAGGGCGTAACTTTTGAGGGCTCGATATATATATATACATATATATCTTTTGGGCAGCCTATATACACAATCATATAGTGTATTTTTTTTACATCGGTCCGGCATGACCCCATAAACTGTCCCGACATTGATTCCGGTTAGCTTCTACATCGGTCCGGCATGACCCCGTAAACTGTCCCCACATTGATTCCGGTTAGCTCCTACAACGGTCTGACACGACCATACAGTGTCTTCACCAACGGTTCGACACGACCATACAGTGTCTCCTATTCTACTTTTTTTTATTTTATTTTCCTGTTTTGTTACTCTCTCCAAACTCAAGTTGACTGGTACCTATCCTCCTTAAGTTTGAGGGGGGCTGTTAGTATATTATATGTATTATATGTTAGTGCATAATATGTTAGCTGTAAAATACCAAGCTTTAATCATGTTGTTTTCTTAGTTCTTTCTTAGTACACACTTTCTGCTTTCTTCTTTCGGCTCTCTTGGCCCCTTTGTACACTCTCCTCTCTATAAAAGGAGAGTCATCTTCACATTGTAAATATACTTAATATCCATTAAATACACAATACAATTCTCTCTCTTTATTTGTACATTATATTTAACACACTTAAATTTGATTTTTGTGAGATGATTATTTTTTAAATTTATAAATTGGGGTTCTTTTAGATTACCAGTTTTTGCTCCCCTATTCAATCAAAGTGTTAGAATTTACCATAACCCACTCCACCTACCACCTCCACTACCATACACACTCACCTACTCCCAAATCCTCTCCTATATAATAGGAAGCCTTGTAATATCAAGAGCATTACAATCAGATATCAATATCAATCAATAATACATAAATTCTTACATGGTATCAGAGCGAGGTTAAAGATCTTGGTGTTCTTCGCCTTCCGGCGGGCGGCAACCTTGCCTTGACCGCCCGTCGGATCTCAACCAATTCAAACCTCAACCTAGTCCGCTAAGATTTTTTTTTTTTACACATACCTCGCCAAAGCAAAGCCTCCGTGCCCTCCGCAAGAAGAACACTCACATCGCCACCCTCTCCGAGCTCGCCGCCGTCATCTCGCTAATCGCCTCCGTCATCTACCTCCTCGGCTTCTTCGGCATCAACTTCGTCCCGTCCCTCCTTTCTCAGCACCTACAATAAGCAGAGGAGGATCTCAGAGGGTTTGGTCATGGCTTCGAAGCGAATCTTGGAAGAGCTCAAGGATCTCCAGACAGATCCTCCTACCTCTTGCAGCGCAGGCCCAGTTGCTGAAGACATGTTTCATTGGCAAGCAACAATTATGGGTCCTCCAGACCGTCCTTATGCTGGCGGAGTTTTTCTAGTTACTATTCATTTCCCTCCGGACTATCCATTTAAGCCACCTAAGGTTGCATTCAGGGCAAAGGTTTTTCACCCTAACATCCACAGCAATGGCAGCATTTGTCTTGATATTTTGCAGGAACAGTGGAGCCCTGCACTTACCATTTCCAAGGTGTACATGCACTCCACCGCCCCAATTTTTTTTTTATTATAAAGCTTGATTCCTTGTTCCCCACTTTCATTCTTTTATATATATATCTCTCTTTTTTATTATCTTCTATTCAAAACACTATTTTGAATCCACCACTATATATCTGTTTTCCACCCACTATTTTTTTTTGCATCCACCGCCCACTCACTCTCTCTCCTCACTTTTATATATATATATATCTTTTTTATTTTATCTTCTTTTTTTTTTTTTTCAAAAAAAAAAAAATTGCAAATCAATGTATTCTTGAAAAATATTTACAAATTCATTAAAAAATTTATAACTTTAATTATTAAAATTGATAAACTTTTTCACTAATTTTATATTTATTTTTTAAATTGAAATTTCCCTCAAAAAAAAAAATTGTCCCTTTGAGTCATAAACATGATAAGGGATGTGTTTGTGCACATATTTGCTTGGAATTCATTGCCATGCCTTGTTTTGCCCTCTGCTGCTGTCAAAACAGGATTCTGCAGGAAGATTTGGCCGACCGGCCATCTTTAGTGCCGACCGACCAACAATTGGTGGTCGATAGCTTAACAAGTGGCCGGTGATCATTTCCTTTGGCCGGTGATCATTTCCCTTGGCCGATGGCCATTCCCCTCAGCCGGTGGTGTTCCACAGTGTGCAGAGAGCATATCCTGGGACTTGTTTTTTAGAAAGAAGTGCCAAACATGGACTGCTTTGCCAGACCCATAACAAACCAAAACAATCTCTCTAACCACAACCCACAACCACCACAAAAACCGGCCTTACTTTTTCGCCTCTTCCGTTGTTCTCTTCTTCTTACTTTTATCTTGGGTGTCCCGTGACAGCTTGGTCTCAGTACTTCCTAATCCACCGAGCACGTTCACTCCCCCCTGCTCCTCCACCGCAGCATATGGCGGACCTCCGAATCGGAACATAACGGTAGCCTTCTGCTTCAGCTCCTTGTTTTCCGCCTTTAACACACATATCTCTGCTCGCGCATCCTTATACATGCACTGGAGCAGAGCCAGTTGGGCGTTTAACTGCTGCACCTCATTTGTCCTACTCTGAAGCCGGTGCGACAAGTTTGTGACCGCAGTCATGGTCTCCACACATGACTTCAATGTATATTGATTGGCCTCAATATCCGGTTGCGCTGCCATTATTTGCTCCACGGACCGCATAGGAAAGTTCAACGGAGGAAAACCAGGGGCGCTTGGTTGAGGTTCAAGGGCAATCGCACCGGTTATCTCTCTTGTGGACTCGTTGAGGTCTGGAAAGAGAGTGAGCAGACCACGGGAAGAAGAGGCCATGTTTTGGGTTGCTGAACGGGAAGAAGAGGCCATGTTTTGGGTTGTTGAGTGTTTTAGAGAGGCAGCGATTTCAGACTGGTAATGTCCGAAATGGTTGGTTGCAGAGTGTTTCAGAACGAAGATGTTCAGAGGTTTCAAACTAGTTTGGTTTGCATAGCTTCCGCCTCGGTTTATATAGACAATGACGGAGAGGACGACACAACGCTCTGTCGATCACGTGCATCGCCGCGCGTCCAGCGCGACTTTTGATGGCTCGCCGCTCGACGATTTCTGTCGGGCACAACTCTTGATGAAGTGGGAGCGCCTTTTGAGGGCGTAACTTTTGAGGGCTCGATATATATATATATACATATATATCTTTTGGGCAGCCTATATACACAATCATATAGTGTATTTTTTTTACATCGGTCCGGTATGACCCCATAAATTGTCCCGACATTGATTCCGGTTAGCTTCTACATCGGTCCGGCATGACCCCGTAAACTGTCCCCACATTGATTCCGGTTAGCTCCTACAACGGTCTGACACGACCATACAGTGTCTTCACCAATGGTTCGACACGACCATACAGTGTCTCCTATCCTACTTTTTTTTATTTTATTTTCCTGTTTTGTTACTCTCTCCACACTCAAGTTGACTGGTACCTATCCTCCTTGAGTTTGAGGGGGGCTGTTAGTATATTATATGTATTATATGTTAGTGCATAATATGTTAGCTGTAAAATACCAAGCTTTAATCATGTTGTTTTCTTAGTGCTTTTTATTTTTATGTATTTTCTTGTTTTGTAACTCTCTCCAAACTCAAGTTGGTTAGTTTCTATCCTCCTTGAGTTTGCGGAGGGCTGCTAGAATTTACCATAACCCACTCCACCTACCACCTCCACTACCATACACACTCACCTACTCCCAAATCCTCTCCTATATAATAGGAAGCCTTGTAATATCAAGAGCATTACAATCAGATATCAATATCAATCAATAATACATAAATTCTTACACAAAGTGTGAGTGGAATGTATTAATAAAGAATGGGATGGGAATAGCACTTCCCATTTTTAATCTACCCAAATTTGATTTATGGTGATTATTATTCATTGGAATTATAAATTTGGGTTCTTTTAGATTACCAGTTTATACACCATTATTCAATCAAAGTGTGAATGGCTTGTTTGTTTAATATTATTTGCTAGGCAACATATTAATACCAAGTTACTTCCAAATAAAACCTGTGATTAGTCTGTGAGTGTTTTAACATTGATGTAATATCTGTGGTTGTGTCAAGTTTCCTAGATTTCTTATGAATCACTCAAGATGTATCTCTAAAAATTGCACTAAAATATTTTTTCGTTGACTTTGCGTTGCTATGCTATGCATTTAAGTTACCTAGGCTATGAAACAAATTGATTGATGCATTGAAGGGCATTTAAAAATGCCCTGTCCATTTTTGTTACAAAAAAAAAAAAAAACAACAACAACAACAATCATGTTGAAAAGTTGGAATAGTTAAGCAAGGCTTGATTTTTTTATCATCTCAGAGTCAGAACTGATTAGTGGTTTTGATTTTGATTTTGGCATTGATGAATGCCACTGAAAGAGTTTGTTGAACTATAGTTTAGATGTGAGTGAACTAGTTTTGCAATTTTCAGTTGCGTCAGTATGTCAATTTTTTGCAATTTGCTTCTTCCGCTTTTACGTAATAAGTCTAAATTGTGATTGTGTACGTATTCCCATACAGATTTTGAAATTTGCGGTAATAAATGATTTATTTCAAATCAACTGAGGAGCTCGTTTGGTTCTTATGTGATTTTATGTGATTGGCTGTGGACCCATATAGATGATATCTTTTCATTCACTTTCATCTTTCACAGACCACCGCTTATTAATGTCATTTTCTGTTTTGCAGGCCTGAGTCACTTGGTATTGTTGTTGGGATTGTTTTCTTAGTGTTTGCAATCTTATTTCAGCATTTTAACTTCACAGCAGATTCAAATGTAAGCGTAATATGTTTCAAAAGTTGTTTGGCTCATTCTTATTGTTTCTTTTGGGTATAGCTATTTTCTTTTGTATTTGGGTGGCATCCCCTCTTGATGCTTGCTTAATATACTTCCGGGAAAAAAAATTATTAGCTTCCAGTTTTAATGATTTTGTAATTTACCTTATTGTATATGGTGACCATCTTTTCTTTTCACCCTTGTCAATTGTACTTTATTGTAAGGATGTGTGAGTTTGTTATGCACTTCTATGTCATATGTTGTAAGTTGTAACAAGTGTTGTACTTCTATTTTTCCTCCTTAATTGTGTCTTCTCTTTGTATTTTTTTTGGTATTACAACTCTCTTGCTTCTGCATTGTTAGGTGAGGCATATAAAACATTATTTGCTCTAACTAGTGATAGACTGAACTGTTGATTATTAATCTGTGCAGTGGCTTGTTGAGTACAATGCGGCTTTGGCATCCATCTGCTTCATGATTTTGCTTGGATTTGTAGATGATGTCCTCGATGTCCCTTGGAGAGTGTGAGTATTCCAACCATATTTTTGGATTTAGCGGCCCATTTATTTCAAGAGCACTGTTTTCTCTTTGCACTACTACATTCAGAGTTAATGCTAAACCAAGTCTTTCTAACTTTGAAGAACAGGAAATTATTATTGCCATCAATTGCTGCTCTTCCTCTGTTGATGGCCTATGCTGGACATACAACTATAGTTATACCGAAGCCTCTCATTCCCTATCTTGGGCTTGAGGTTTTGGATCTAGGTAATTAATTCTAGAAGTGGAAGATTTTTCGTTTGTTATTGTCAAAATGCTCTGGTAGTTCATTCATTTCCCTTAGCATCAACTATCAACAGAACTTATAGAAAGATATGTCAGTTCACTTCTCATACAGAACTTTATTTCAAATAACTATCGTTTTTGTTCTACTGTCAATCTTTGCTTTTGCATGCAGTTTTATTTCTTATTATTAGAGGCGGTATATCTGACAATGTTCAGTAATGATCACATGGGAAAGTTTGGTGTGTTTCTAAGTTATGAGAACTATTCAGTGCGTTTGGTTTCAGTTTTTTGGAAGTGGAGTTTTTTGTTTTTCTTTTTTTTCTTTTTTTTAGTAAATATTTTTAAATTTTAAGCAATTTTTTTACTTTTTTAGATGCATTTTACTTAGATGTATTTAAATAGTAAAATATTTGTGAAAAAATATTTTAAAAAATTAATAAATACAAAACAATTTGAACAATGTACTGAATTTTTGTATTTTTGGTATTTAGTGAATTTTTGAAAGATTTTTTTCACAAATATTATACTTTTTAAGTGTATTTATGTTTGGTGTGTCTAAAAATAAAAAAAAAAAAATTGCTTAAAATATTAAAAAAAATCATTGAAAACAAAATAAAATACGGAAAATAAAAAAGTAAAATTTTCTGAAAAGTGTTTTCTGAAAACCAAAACCAAACAAGCTGATTGGGACTGGATTGGGACTAGATCTGTTAACACAATATGCATTAGAAGCTTTTGTATTCGTGCATTATTTGTGTAATTTCATAACTTGCTTACTTTTACAAATTTTTTTATTTTTTAAATAAGATTAATTTATGTTAAAAGTCATCAAAATGGATGTGCCCATATACATCCAAAAGAAAACCTATGTAAACAATAGGCTATACAAACTTTCAATCCTCAGAAGTTCTCTATGAAATCCAAAAAATCCTCTACTGTCAGGTCCATCCATACAAAAGGGTTAACAAGCAAGATTATTTTTTTATTTTTTTGATAAATGGTTAACAAGCAAGATTTCACCTTAAAATGAGGTTTCTCTACCCAATCAAAAGACCATTGATTTCTTTCATTCCAAATAATCCGTATCAAACATGAGGGAGATGATTTCCATGCCTTTATTTTATTTATTTTTATTTTTTTTCTACTCTTGCTAACACTCAACTTTCCAACAATGCATGAGCTTTTCACAACATGACCAGTAGTTGCAATACTTGGAGTTTTTGGTTGATAGCTTGATTATTTCTCAATTCTTTGCCTGTTCTCATGTGGACAGGGTGGGTATATAAGCTATACATGTGGCTTTTGGCTATATTTTGCACGAACTCTATCAATATTCATGCTGGTTTAAATGGCCTTGAAGTTGGGCAGACAGTTGTTACCTCATGTGCTGTAAGCACCAAACACTATACCACATTAGAATGTGATTTCATTGTGGAATCTGACACTTTGTATTGATTTACAGATTCTGATACACAATGTAATGCAAATTGGAGTATCTTCGGACCCAGAGTATAAACAGGCTCATGCATTCTCTATTTACCTTGTTCAACCGTTGCTTGCCACTTCCTTGGCTTTATTTTCTTATAACTGGTAATATTATTGTCAATGTTACGCTAGATGGTTTATAAGATGTTCTTACTCCATAATCAGGTCATCTTGGAAATTCTCTGTTGTCTGTATTCTAGGTATCCGTCTTCAGTTTTTGTTGGTGACACCTACACATACTTTGCTGGAATGACTATGGCTGTAGCTGGCATTCTAGGCCACTTTAGGTGCGCTTTCTAATTGTCCTCTCGACTTTTGCTGCTACATCCTATAATGTATTTCAGATCGAAATTCTAATGCATGATGATTTCTTCTTTTTTTTCTTTTTTCTTTTTTTATGACCTTATGCATGATGATTTCTGGAACCTTGTTTTGCAGCCTTGAGATATTAATCACCATGTCAATATAAATGTGCATCATATGGAGCAAGTTACATAATTGATGTCTAACTTAATGGTTTAAGTAAATAATTAGATAACATCAAAATTTGAAATCAAATACATGTTAACACATTTAAACAATTTCATGTCCATCATTTGCATAACCACCCTGGGGACCACGATTAAAAAATGAAACAATTTGAAAGCCTTGGCAACATAAAAATTCAATTGAACTCCACTTCACGTGATTATATGCATTTTCTTTTAGTTATATTGACTATGTGATGTGGTAATCAGTTTCTTATGTGCTTGTAGGATTTATTTTTTCTTTTTTCCTTTGCTTTTTGCATAAGTATACACTTCTAGAATTTGGCAGCACAATTTCACACTAAGCTTAGATCTTTCAAAGCGTTAATATTTAACTTGTTTTGTCCTTTGGCCAATGACAACTTTGTCATGTTAACACTATTGTGAATATCTTCCTGCCTTGATGTTCCAGTTCTTCTGCTAATAGGAGCTGATGAACGAAATCTGGCTCATCAATAATTGTTGTCATCTGCTAATAGGAGCTGATGAACGAAATCTGGCTCATCAATAATTGTTGTCATACTCAACATTTATGCATATGAGAGGATGATGTATTAAAATGAATAAGTACCTTGTTACAGCCCTCTAATGGAAACTCAAAGCGAAACCTATCTATCTCTAGTGGAAACCTAAGCCCATTGAGAAGCACATCTTCCATGATCAGATACTGATCTGCTCCCCAAAAGACGTACAGAAAATAAAGGGTTGTTTGGGGTGTTCTAAATAAGTGCATTTTTTGACTTTTTGGACTAAAAAGTTAAGGGAAAAAATTATAATTGTTTGGGATAACTTTTTGACTTTTTACGGAAAAAATGTGTATTAAAAAATTGTATAAATTAGTGTATAGGAGAAGCTTGGGCAGAGTAGGCAGTACGGTGGCAGAGTAGTGTATAGGAGAAGCTTGCCTCCTTTTCGGGCATTGAATTGGATGGTATTGTACGGCCCGTGGAGGCCCACCACAGGTCCCATTTTGCTAATCGAAACTGTTCAATGTGTAAAACTCGTTGAGTACTATATGTTCGTAAAAAATCACGTTAATCGGATATCGATAGCTATTTGATCGGATTAGTTTTTTTATCAACCGTTAATTATAACACCATCCATTTTTTTTATACAAAACTGATTTGATCATATAATTAGCGATATCCGATCAACGTAATTTTTGATAAATATATATTAATCGACGAATTCTATACATTGAACGGTTCATATTATCAAAACAGAACCTGTGATGCGCCCTCACAAGCCGAACAGTATCATCCTGTGCAAAAAAAAATTTCCACCCACGACCATCACTTACTTGGCTTGTGTACAGTGTATTTGGCCTATGTAAAGGGGATTTTTTTATATATATATTTTTTTTCATGAATAGTGATGATTTTTTTACTTTTTAGTAACTTTTTGTATTTTTTAGTGTATGCCAAACCAGGCCTAAGTATCTCACCCTTGATTTTCATGTCTTGTGGATTTGACTTGTATAAATTAGTGTATAGGAGAAGCTTGGGCAGAGTAGGCAGTGCGGTGGCAGAGTAGTGTATAGGAGAAGCTTGCCTCCTTTTCGGGCATTGAATTGGATGGTATTGTTCGGCCCGTGGGGGCCCACCATAGGTCCCATTTTGCTAATCGAAACTGTTCAATGTGTAAAGCTCGTTGAGTACTATATGTTCGTAAAAAATCACGTTAATCGGATATCGATAGCTATCTGATCGGATTAGTTTTTTTTATCAACCGTTAACTATAACACCATCCATTTTTTTTATACAAAACTGATTTGATCATATAATTAGCGATATCCGATCAACGTGATTTTTGATAAATATATATTAATCGACGAATTCTACACATTGAACGGTTCATATTATCAAAACAGAACCTGTGATGCGCCCTCACAAGCCGAACAGTATCATCCCGTGCAAAAAAAAATTTCCACCCACGACCATCACTTACTTGGCTTGTGTACAGTGTATTTGGCCTATGTAAAGGGGATTTTTTTATATATATATTTTTTTTCATGAATAGTGATGATTTTTTTACTTTTTAGTAACTTTTTGTATTTTTTAGTGTATGCCAAACCAGGCCTAAGTATCTCACCCTTGATTTTCATGTCTTGTGGATTTGACTCATAACTCATCCAAGTTCTATGAGTTCAAGTTCATTTGGTAGCTGATCAATGTTGTCTTCTTACTCATTAAAATTTTTTGAGTTGAATGTCCTCCCTCCAATGGCATACACGATGCATCATTATTTACTGCAATTGTTCTTTCTCACAGTCAACACTAAAGTCCCAGGGCGGGGTACTATAGTTGTGCATTGAACTGTTTAAATTGTCTATCTATTTATTCTGGGAGTAATACTTGCCTAATTTTTGTTACAGTGAAACACTCTTGATATTCTTCATTCCTCAAGTTTTGAACTTCCTTTTATCACTTCCTCAGGTTTGATCAAAGCATCACTTTCTACTTCAAATCTTTCAGATTGTGCTAGATGTTTGAATATTCTAATTCTTCTTGTTTTTTTTTAGCTTTCTGGCTTTATTCCTTGTCCACGGCATCGGCTGCCAAGGTAGCTTCTGAAGTATCTTCACACTGGTTGTGCTTTATGAACTGTTGCTGGCATCTTCGTGAACTTTCCTTGATGTTAGTGTGAAAATCTCTGTACCTTTCAGGTTTGACCCTCAGACAGGACTGCTCACTGGGACAAATGATGGGACGCTTGTGAATTTGTTCTTAAGACAATTTGGCAGGAGGTCAGAAAAGTCTCTTTGCATCCTTCTACTTATCTTCCAGGTAACAAAATCATGATTTTCTCATTTTATCTTCAATTTGTGCGTTGTATGTGGAAATTTCTTCATCCTGTGTACTGACAAGCCTCAGTAAGCACTTATTACACAGTTTGCGAGTTTTTTTTTTTGGACTCAAATCTTCAATGATCCTGCATAACTAATGATTGTGAACTCTTCACATTGGCCCTTTGTACTTCTTCTCTACTTCAGATATGACAAGATCTATATGAACCTGCCAAACCCACCTAAAATGAATGCATTTGATCATCTAGGAAACAAGTTCTTATGGTTTACCTGAAGGTGAACATCATTTATGAGTATGTTTTCTGTTGCAATGATTGTTGGCAGAATGCAAGAATATTCCTCCGGTAGCCAATAAAATGACCATTTGTTTAAATTGGCGAATGGTTATTCCATTTAGAATGTACATTTATTTCTTTTTAAGCGAACCAAACAGAATGACCATTTCATTTGGGCCTTCAATCCATTGTACCAGACAATGCTTTACAGATTTGACCTATCTCTTATTTGCCAGATTCTGAATCCTTTTATATTTTTTATTGATTAGGCTTTTTAATGTGATTACTTTTGGTTAATTGGTTTTGGACTTGGCCTCTTGTTTATGGGTCTGGGTGAGTGAAGCTACCTTGGAACCTATGGAAACCTATGCAAAAACCCAACAACCTGTCAACTGTACTTCAACCATAGAAAATCAGAAAATTAATTTCAGAAAAGGCTATGAAAGTTCTGTAATTCGAACCCGCTGTCCTTGCATGTTTAATATACTCTATCATGATATATCCTTTTAGATTTTTTTTTTTTTTCTTGAGATCATCAAATGTATGAATTCATTTATTTGCCACAGGCCATTGGTTGCTGCTTCTGTTTCTTGCTGAGGTGGTTCCTAGCTGGTTGGTACAAATGAGGCAACAACAGAGAGCGAAACAATCTTCTAGTTGGCTTTATTTAACATGCGGGACTATCTCATCAGATAGGTGTGTTGTATTATTTGTTTATTTTTCTTTGGGAAAAAAGAGCAACTTAACCCTTGAGCTATCTGTCAGTAGGATATACGGATGCCTTGCAACTGAGCAGCATTGACATGTGAATCAAGAAAAATAGACGAAAGTGAAATTTTTGTATTTTTGCTCGTTAGGATGAGAATTTTCTCACATATTCAGACATTCAAAAGATGGGAGACAATATTGAAGTGTTTTTGTTCCTGTTATTTCACTCAAATTATTGATATGATCTCGTGATTTATAAATCTTTCTACATTTTGATTGGAGTTAATTATACACCAAATTGGCTGGAGTTGTCCAAAATAGTACATGTCATGAACTTGAAGACCACATATATGAGTTTAAAAGTCTAGTTTCAATCCATCAACCGCGCTGATAGAAATCATGGTGCTTTTTTTAAGTATAGGACAGTTACTTTTGCAAAAATTATCAAAATGTTAAGTTTGTCAATCTATCCTTCAAATGAGATCTATACTGTGCGTATTTACCTTGAGAAGTCTCAAGCAAATTCATTCTAGCTGAGAAGGCACCTATGCATCTCCACCCGTACCATGTTTGCGTTGATTAATGTATCGGACCCGACTGCAATGGTGGCACACCTTTCGCTGGCAATCAATCAGCATATGTTCTAAATATTGAAGCATGTTTTAACATTTGATGTTCTTTCACATCATTAAGAGCTTAACTATCCAACTATATATAATATCCGAACTTCATTCAGAGATGGAGACATTGTACAAGGAGAGAAACCCCAATCCCTTGTTCTGTTCCCTCCTCTTTTTCCATCCTACCAACTGAAGTCTTAGTTTTGAATTACAGGCAAAAATTTCCAATAGGAGAGTGAAAGGTCATACTTGTGATTCTCCAACTGCATCAAAACAATAACTATATGGAGGTTCTGAATGCACCTAATATATTTCTCCTTGCGTTCTAAAAAAAACATATATTTTTCTTTACACCCATTACTTGTAATTGAACACTTGTACCTTGTCCGGTGGATGTAGAAAGAAATATTTTTGGTGTACTTAGCACCTTCCATAACTATAAGACAAATTGAAAAGATAAATTGAAAAAGTAAGGTGCCAAGACACATGAAAATGTGCTTGACTAAACAGTTCCAAGCATATGACAAGGGTACATCTGACATGCCAAAGGCAGTTAATAGGCACCCGTTTGATTGCCAAAGGGACCCTGTTCTATTCCAACTAACAAGGGTGGCTTCTCAACAATTAACAAAAGCAAGTACAAGATAACAAACCCTATTGATAAAAAGGGAAAAAACAAAAAAAAAAACAAAACAAAACAAAAAGTTCACAAAACAGTAAGTAAGAGATTGCTAGAACGTTTGACAAAGAAGCTCAATCTGTGATGGTGAACTACAAATTCCGAAGTTAAAGAAATTCCATATACTTAGGCTTCCTAAAACAAGGTTGAAATATACGGTGATGCTCAATCTGCTAATATAGGGCCCAGTAAACTTAGATGTTCTCTCACTGATGACAGGGGGATATCAAATGCAGCTAGTCAATGTCCATGGCCTTCTCCTTTCCATTGCTTTTGCTTGACCATAGCTTGATTGTCCGATCACGTGAAACAGTTGCAATGCACTGTCCATCTGCCACCAAATAACAATCATAATTTGAATTACAGAATACAAATAGAGAAGGTTTGTAAAGGAACATCAGATGGTACTCAGATTTTGAGAGAAATTAACATTTTAACAGTGTCAACATATTCAAAAACTTGCATATAAATAAATACCCAACGTCAAATTAATTACAAGTCTACCGTCACATAGGTTGCTGACATGTACACAAAATATATGATGGTGCAATTAAACTACTGCATATGAAAAAATACCTATATATATATGTTTTACTTACAAAAGTTCATCAGGATATTAAAATAAATTATTGGACTATACATCGGAATATTTCCATGTGCCTGAATATTTCAGAAAGCAACTCAAAGTAGACATAGCAATATAAATTGCAACATATCAGGATCCTCTAAACCATGTCATCTATTGCAAATTTACGAATTCTGAAAAAATAATCATTCAAACAAGCCTAAAACTAAAAATAGAAGAGCTACTACATATATTAAATTACTGACACTCCATGATGGTAAATGATGAATTTATATGGCAAAACTTGGATGTTTCATTAAGAAAAGAAAAGAAAAGAAAAGAAAAGAAAAAAAGGACAGGAGGGGGGAAAGAAAAAAAAATAGAATTAAGATCAATATTATGCTTACTTACCTCCTACTACATCCAATGAGGTAACCTGTGCTTCATGGCCAGATAGTGTCTTGACAGGCTTAAAATCTCTAGATGACCAAACCTGATGCAACAAAACCCAAAATTTAGTAATACATTAAAAAAAATTAAATAAGCAAGAAGTGATCAATTCAAAGATATTTGGTACACAACAATCATATTCTACACAAGGGGAGGGGAAGGATTACCTTAGCAGTAGTATCATACGAGGCAGTTACCAAAAAATATCCCTCTTGAGGCTCAAATTTGACTTGAGAGATGATATTTGCATGAGCTGGTATTATGTACAAGGATTTTCTCTTCCTTAAATCCCAAATACGGCAAGTATTATCTTCACAACCAGTGGCTAAATGATAACCATTGGGAGAAAAACTGACACTGAGAACCTGAGAGAAACAACAGAAAAATATTTCAGTCAACAATTTGATTCCACCACCAACCAACCCCGACAGAGCATAAACAACCACAACAGCATAAGAAAAAAGGAAAAAGAAAAACCATGATATTATGACAGAGCTTTTAGTCTCACCGGCTTAACATGGCCTTCCAAGGCAAGAATACTTCTCCCAGACCGAAGGTCCCATACCCGAGCAAGTGCATCCAATCCACAAGTTGCTGCTAAAGATCCATCATGGTGAAAAGATATTCCATACACACTCCTACTGTGACCTTCTTGGAGGAGCAACTCCTCACCAGTATCTATATCCCATAATCTCCAAGTCTTGTCATAGCTAGCTGTGCCCAAGTACTTCCCTGATGGATGGAAGGCAATACGAGCAAGACGGTCCAAATGGCCTCCAAATGTCTTCAGGAGAGACCCTTCAGCATTCCATAACTTTGCAGTCCGGTCAGCAGAGCCAGTTGATATATAATTGTCCATGGGAGAAAAAGCAACATCCGTTAGGCGTTCTGTGTGTCCCTTTAAAGTACAAACTTTCCTCACTTGAGGCATACTCCATATTTTAGCAACTCCACTTGAAGCACTGGGGGATGTTTGGAGGAGTGGGGGGAAAAAAATTAGAAAGTTATCCCAAACAAAGTGTACTTAATAGAAGATAAACGAAAGACTTGCAAACACTAGGAAAAATAAGTAAAGGTGATCTCAAAAGACAAACTGGGGATAGAAAGAAAGAGCATGAAGATCTTTCAACAAAAAAATCCAAATCTATATTAATCTTTATCACACAACAATGACCATAACATCCCTCATATTATCAGCACAAAAGGTTCAGACGGTCAGACTGAACCAAAAGCAATCTATTCACATAAAAGCTTCATCAAAATATTGCACAATTAAAACCAAAACATGGAGTCCTACAAATTATGCTTATCTTGTTATATAGTAATCACACACACAGATAAAATAGAGAGAAAGAGAGTACCATGTGGCAAGCATCTTTCCGTCACGTGAAAAGGAACATCCTGAAAGTGGCCGATCATCTCCTATTTCACTACAATCTAGGACCAAGCTACCAGCTTGCCTCAGAGCCCAATCAACCTCTGCATCCAAATCTTCATCTGGGTCATCCCTTCTCCTCCTTGCACGCTGAAGACGCAAAGCTGCCCTCACAACAGAATACTTGGCAATCTCTCCTCGGGCCTGTAAAAGTGCTTTTGATCCTTCAGTGAAAAACGGGTACTGAATGTCATCCTCAGCTTCCTCCTTTGTCACAGAAGCTGCAGCCTCCTCGTCCTCGTGCGCTTTCATCAGCCTGTCCAATTGCCCTTCAGCATCCAGCTTTGCCATAAGCATCCGCAAACGGTCCCTTCTTTCCATTTCTCTTTCTCCAAAAAGAGTTATGGGTTCACCAAGACGACGGAGACGAGCCCGTACAGCCATATCATTTGTAGGCACAGCCAGGGCAGCAGCACGCCGCTTCATCAGTAATTCTTGCATGGCTTTTTCCTGCCTCTCTCTCACCTGCTTGCTCTGTTCTGAAATCTCATATTCTGCAGCTGAACCTGCAGTAGTCCGATTGGGGCCTGAATCATCATGATCAGAGTCAGAGTCACTGGGCCTAACCTCACCATTTTGGGGCTGGGGTGGCTTAAGGATAGGTGGACGGACAGGGAGAGATGCCAATGGACGGGGAATCGAGGGGTTAACTGTGGGTATTGGAGCAATAGGAGGCACAATTGGAGGCGTAATTATTGGAACAATTGTGGGAATCGGAGCTATAGGAGGCACAACTGGAGGTGTAATTATTGGAGGAATTGTGGGTATTGGAGCAATAGGTTGAACTGGTTGAATAGGAATCAGATCAATTGCAGAATTTGTAGTCTGATCTTCAATGACTGCAGCAGAAGGATCAGTAACTGAAGTTGAAACCGAATTTTCCTCATCTACCTCCATGATGCCTGACAAACGCAAACACAAAAACAATTAACAAACCCAATGAAGCCAAACAGGTGAAGCAAAGATTAATGAAGTCAACAAAAGGGGATAACTAAACAACTATTCAATCAAAATTTAATGCAAAAAAACAATTAACAAACCCAATGCAGCCAAACAGGTGAATCGACAGTTAATCCAGTCAACAATATGCGGTGAATAGACTCAACCCATCACAAAAGGCAAAGGGGATTAATTAAACAACTATTCAATCAAAATAGAGGAAGGCAATTAAAAAAAAAATTAAATTCAAACACCATCAGCTTAATTGAGCCTACAAATCTCTCAAATTAATAGAAACAACTTCAACCCTTCAAGTTTTTTTTTTTTTTTCCCCTTCAATTTTCACGAGTCTGAAGTAGGATAATTAGCTCAGAAACATCATAATCAGTCAAACACAAACACAAAATACAACAATGAGATAATTTCATAACTTCCCAGAAAAAACAAGCTACATATATATACATAAACCAAAAATTCGTACTACCCATTAACTCTCAACGATAGAACAAAACCCTATGTCCTGTGTTTCGTAAAACAGTTACATACATACACAAAACACACAATACGCAGAGAGAGAGAGAGAGAGAGAGAGAGAGAGAGATACGAACCTTAGGGCTCGAGCGTGAGTGTTAAGTATTAGTGATACGGATTTATTAGGGTTTAAGGACACAATTACGATCCGGATTTATTAGGGTTTAAGGGTGAGTGAGAGCACAAGACTTCAACCTCAATTCATTTCATTGCATTGCATCACAGAGAGAGAGAGAAAGAGAGAGAGAGAGAGGGGCTTATATGATATTTTGTATTTTGATCAAATTACACTTTACCCTCTTAAATTATGGGATGTTAGCAATTTGCCCCTCTTGATTGAAAGGGGTTGTTTGGGATGCTTTAAATAAGTGCACTTTTTGACTTTTTATGAAATATGGGTTGGATTTGAATTGATGTGATAAAGAGGTGATGTGACTTAAATAAGATAGTGACTTTTTGACTTTTTAATTTTTTTTAGTATATGCCTTTCTATTTTGTTTCAAGATTTTGTTAGTGAAACAAAGTAGTACATGTTAATTTTATGATCAAAATGTTCATTGAAAAGATTGAAATAGGCTGATGGTTTATATTGAAGACAAATCAAAATATTAGAATTTAAATTAATAAAATTAAAAATTTAAGATTTATTTTGTTGTAATGGTTAAATTCTATTTTTTATTTTTTTATTTATAATTTTTTCAGAAAAAAATTTAACACCACAATCACAACTATACAACAATGTCAATAAACCTAATAATCAACTCCAAGGATTAAGATTCAAAGTCTAAAGTTTGAGTTTCTCTTAATGGTAAATATAAGTTTATCAAGTCGTTAACTTCAGAGCTGAGTCCAAACTGGGCTCGACACCCAAATTTAAAAGAAAAAAAAAATGTTATCCACCTTTAAGTAACATTATCAGATTAAAGGGGCAAAAAATAGATTGTGCAAGTATGCTAAGGCCCTATTTGGCAATAGCTAAATAAGCTGTTTTTGGTTAAAAGGTTAAAATTAAAAAGCATGTTTATTTTTGCTAAATAAATAAAGATAATATAGTAATTCCCAGACCAAAATAAAAAAATAAAAAATAAAAGAAAAAACTTCCACCACAAAAAAATGCATCCGTATTTTTTAATTTTAAAAAATAAGAAAGCTACTAAAATATAAAACAAAAAAATAAAAAACTAGTATTCATTTTTGCAATCAATAGCATGTGTTTCACAACCAACATGATTGTTTCCCCTGAAGAAAGCAACAGACCCCACTCACCCAACTCCACAGCTACTTTCAAAAAGAAGAGATGCCTCTTAAGATTGATTTGAGCTACACAACAACTGCTATTTTTTTCAAAGAGTAAAATGCAAAGTCAAGGGAATACAAGCTAAGTGGCTTGCCTTTAATATGATACAAAACTTGCAACACAAAAATGAGTTGAATCACATTGGTAAACAAACATTCGAAGGCCATGGGTTGGCTTAATAGATGAGACTCCTCATTACTAGACACATCTAATTTGAGTCTTAAGATTTCCCTTATTTTCCAAGGATGAATTGGTTGCCTTCTTCACATCCACTTCGGCATCTCCCCAACCAGCCGGAGAGAATGACTCACTTGGGACAAGAGGTTCACTGATACTCACAACCTTTGGGCACCGATATGTCACAGGGAAAGCCATTTATCTCTGCCCAGAAACGGTTCTTCACATTGTGGAATGCCTCTTCACCTGCAGAGTCATTCCATGTTAACACGTTCTCATATAGGTGTATACACTTCTTGGTTTCTACAACCTTTCGCCAAGGAACCGAACCAACCAAAGTGCAAAATTTCTTTTCCCATTAAGGCACAGTTGGCTGTTAATTACCTGAAAGAAAAATTAAAGTGTCAAATTTGAAACAAGATAAATAATTAAAACAAATTTTCCAAAAAGAGGAAACTAGAGTCAGTTGCAAGCATATCTAGTAATTCGAGTTAACAATACAACTAGCATTAAATCCCCCTATTATGCATGAAGCGCACCATGACACATTGTGAATACCGGTTTAGCCTTAAAAAAAAAAAAAAAAAGAATATAAAGAAAGATGAAATTTTGCCATGTCCCCATGTCCTTAGACTTGGGAATTGGGATTAGGTAAATCAGTCACTTATACATATAAAAGCACTCGACATTCATATGCCCATGTAACATAGGGGTTTACAATAGTACAGTTCCTAATTCCCATAATTAGGAAACCCTAATAAAAAAATGTAGGATAACATAAACTACATACTGTCAAACTTCAATTTCCAAAATTTCATGTATTAATTGAAATAGTACAATATCAAAACAGAAAATCCCACAAACACACTTCTACTAAAAAGGAAAGAAGAGAAAAGAAACAAGGAAAAAGCACTCGACATTCATATGCCCATGTAACATAGGGGTTTACAATAGTACAGTTCCTAATTCCCATAATTAGGAAACCCTAATAAAAAAATGTAGGATAACATAAACTACATACTGTCAAACTTCAATTTCCAAAATTTCATGTATTAATTGAAATAGTACAATGTCAAAACAGAAAATCCCACAAACACACTTCTACTAAAAAGGAAAGAAGAGAAAAGTGTTGAAATTTAATGTATAAAGAGAATTGTATTATTGATTGATGTATAATGTTGATATTACAATGATTCATGATTCCTATATATAGAAGAGGGTGAGTGTGTAGTAGGTAAGAAGTAGGTGAAGTGGAGGTGGTAGTGATGTAGTGGGTTAGGTCTAGTGGAGTAGGTGAGGTGGTAGTGGTGTAGTGGGTTAGGTTTAGTGGAGTAGGTTTAAGTGGGTGAAGTAGGTGATAAATTTTAACAAAAAGAAACAAGGAAGTTGGTGAATAATCCCAGATTTGAAATGCTGAACACATCAAGAAATCTTCACCATTGATAACATCCATAAGCCTATTACAATTTGGTCACCCTCCCATTGCAAGACAATTCTCAAGCCAAGGGGTTCATATAATTAGGTATTAGGGTTCGTATAATTAGGTATTAGAGCCAATGTCAAGTATGGAAGGGGTCACACCTATGTGAGTATGGGATCGGATGGGTTTGGATTAATACTCGTTGGGGTGTCAAATACTGATAGGTGAGTCAAGTTGCCGACCATTGGATGCTTCTACCTAAGGGTTCATATCAAAACCCTAATCAAAGAACACTAACTTTTAATCATCAATAAAATATAAACCTAATTTCAAGACCTAACAGAATACCTCCTAAACAGCAACTATAATAAACCCCCCCATCTAACATTCAAACTAATAAATTCAACATTTTTTTAACCCTAAAATCAAAAAAACTCTTAACCTGGCAAATAGGTAGTTATGATCATCAAGACAAAACCCAAGAACCCATTAACAAAACATCATCTTTCACAAAAATTACACACAAATAAATAAATAAATAATAGTAAAAAATAATAATCCAACATAAATAACAAAATCATAAAAAAAAACCCAGAAAATATATATACCTATAGGCAGTTTTCTGTTCTGTGATCTTGGTTGTCTTCTCCAACTATCCATCATCACAACACAGCATCAAACAAACAAACCCAACAGAATTTCCCTATAACCCAGAAAAATTCAGTTAAAAAGAACAAAATCAAAGATAAGTATCTGAGAAATTGATCTGATTTGTAGAAAGATTCGAAGGTGAAGAGATCGGAGGCTTGAAACAGAGTGATTGGAGGCAGATTTAGAAGGAATTGAGAGGGTTTTAAAAGGCACAAAAGAAGAAACTTTTGAAGGTTTGAAGCGTCTAGAATTGCTTAGAGCAAATAAAAGATTGATTGTAATTTTAGAGGCATAGATCTTGGTATTGGACTCGATTTATATATTATGTATAGTCTGATTTTCCTACTCCGATAAGGATTGAACATTGTAGAGATTGAGAACGTCACAAAGCGCGTGAAATTTGTTTATATCACAACAAATTCCGAAGTTAAAGAAACTCCATATACTTCAGGCTTCCTAAAACAAGGTTGAAATATATGGTGATGCTCAATCTGCTAATATAGGGCCCGGTAAAATTAGATGATCTCTCACTGATGACAGGGGGATATCAAATGCAGCTAGTCAATGTCCATGGCCTTCTCCTTTCCATTGCTTTTGCTTGACCATAGCTTGATTGTCCGATCACGTGAAACAGTTGCAATGCACTGTCCATCTGCCACCAAATAACAATCACAATTTGAATTACAGAATACAAATAGAGAAGGTTTGCAAAGGAACATAAGATGGTATGCAGATTTTGAGAGATATAGTTGACAAGAACAATTACGCATAAAATCAGTAACCGTCATATTCTCTTTTCTTCTTTTTTTTTTTTTTTGGCAAGTAATGTTTTTCATCTTCACCGTAGGACATATTAACATTTTAACAGTGTCAACATATTCAAAAACTTGCATATAAATAAATACCCAGCACCAAATTAATTACAAGTCTACTGTCACATAGGTTGCTGACATGGACCCAAAATATATGGTGCAATTAAACTACTGCATATGAAAAAATACCTATATATATATATGTTTTACTTACAAAATTTCATCAGGCTATCAAAATAAATTATTGGACTATACATCGGAATATTCCCATGTGCCTTAATATTTCAGCAAGCAACTCAGAGTAGAGACATAGCAATATAAATCGCAACATATCAGGATCCTCTAAACCATGTCATCTATTGCAAATTTACGAATTCTGAAAAATAATCATTCAAACATGCCCAAAACTAAAAATAAAAGAGCTACTACATATATTAAATTACTGACACTCCATGATGGTAAATGATGAATTTATATGGCAAAACTTGGATGCTTCATTAAGTAAAGAAAAGAAAAGAAAAGAAAAGAAAAGAAAAAAAGGACAGGAGGGGATAAACAAAACCAAAAAGAATTAAGACCAATATTTTGCTTACTTACCTCCTACTACATCCAATGAGGTAACCTGTGCTTCATTGCCAGATAGTGTCTTGACAGGCTTAAAATCTCTAGATGACCAAACCTGACGCAACAAAATTCAAAATTTAGTAATACATTAAAAAAAATTAAATAAGCAAGAAGTGATCAATTCAAAGATTTTTGGTACACAACAATCATATTCTACACAAGGGGTGGGGAAGGATTACCTTAGCAGTAGTATCATACGAGGCAGTTACCAAAAAATATCCCTCTTGAGGCTCAAATTTGACTTGATAGATGATA